CCCACGTCTGTGCCTGCCCCCAGTGCCTGTCGGCAAGCAGATTGCTCCTCCTCCTAACATTGGGTCAGGTGCAGCTCTCCTTTGCTGTGGCTGGGCGGGTCACTGCCCCTCCCGATGCCACAGTCAGATGTTACAGACTGGCCAGTTAGGAGGGCGGGTTGCGCCCCCTGCCGGCACTGTAGTCAGGGGTTGCATTCCTGCCTGAATGGCGCGGGGCCACCCTCCCTCTCCCGTCGCTGGTATCTCCTCTGTTCTGTGGCGCTGTGCGCTCCGCCTTGGGTTGGCGCTCTGCAGGTGCGCTCTGGGAAGACCGAGGAACAGCCTCGTCCCTGCTCCGGGCCAGAACCCAGCTCCTTGTTTGTTTTGGCGGAGCAAGTTCTCTGAGGGACCAGGATGGAAGGCTCCTATCTGCCTGCGGCTGTAGGCCCGTCTCCATCTGGCCTTTGAGGCTGCTAAGCCCTTAGGTGCTGATGCAGGTTTCACCTCCGTCCCCCACATGGGTGCTAAGTGCCAGAAGATATGGCGGTTGTGCCTAAGCCCCGCCTCTCTTCTCCCAAAAAACTTTCCGCGGGTTTTCAGATATGGGGATATGCACCCTTCCCCCCAGGGCACAGCAACTGTGTTGTTTTATGGAGGGCCCAGGTTCTTCTGCCCTGTGCACCCACAGCCATGGTGCACAGCCCCCTGCAGTCCCCTGGGGCTACCTCAGTGCAGCCACCCCAGTCCTCCACCTGGCTCAGGCAGCCTGGCCCTGCCCCCAGCTGCCAGCCCGCATCTCGGGCTGGGTGTTGCTGGGACCCTCTGTGCCCATTTAACTTAGTTCTGTCAGTCAAGGGCTGGTCTGTACAGATCCAAGCCTCAGAGGCTCCCCTCCATCCCACTGGCCTCTCGGTTGGAGAGGGGAGACCCAGTGAACGAGCCCCAGTACTCCTTTGCCACTCCCTCCCAGCGGGACCCATCCCAATCTGCTTTGCTTTTTCTTCTTTCTTTTTTCCTTTTCTCCTACGAGATTTTTGGCATCTCTATCTTTTGAAGAGGGTGACCTGTTGGAGTTCTGCAGGTGCTCTAGTTGGCTGAGTGCGTCTGTGGATGTGAGTCTTGGTGCATTTATGGGAGAAGGTGAGCTACAAGTGTCCTTCAACTCTGCCATCTTCTCTCTTCTCTCAAGGTTCTTGTTTTATTATCCAGTCTGCCACTCTATGTCTTTTGACTGGAGCATTTAGTCCATTAACATTACAGCAATTAATGATAGATGTGTGTTTATTGCCATTTTGAACTTTGCAGTTGATTTGTTACTTCCTCTTTGTTCCTTTCTTTTTCTTTTTGTGGTTTGATAATTTTCCTTTGTATTATCATGGATTTTATTTAGTTTTTGTGACTCAATTGTAAGTTTTTGGTTGTGGTTACCCTTTTTTGTATGTATATTAACCGATTACTATAACTGTTTATATTAAACAAATAGTAATATAAGCTCAAACCCATCCTACAGAGAACAAAACATTTTAAAAAGAAAAAAATACTCTGTATTTTCTTCCTTCCCTCTCCCATTCTTAATGATTATGATGTCCTCTTTTACAGTTGCATGTTTATTCTGTTGTAATTCATGGTAGCCATCACCTTTTCAGTTATAGTTTTCTCCTTTCTTTAGCATTCTTCCCCTTTCTGTTTAGAGTAGGCCTTTCAATATTTATTTTAACATAGTTTTAGTGTTGCTAAATTCTTTTAGTTTTTGCTTGTCTGTGAAATTCTTTATTTCTCCTTCTGTTCTAAAGGATAACCTTGCTGGATAAGGTATCCTAGATTATAATCTTTCTTTTTTCATTCAGGACTTTGAATGTATCTTGCCACTCCCTTCTAGCCTATAGGATTTGTGTAGAAAAATCAGCTGAAAGCCTTATGGGCATTCCCTTGTAACTGAGTCTTT